CCGTGCAGGCCCCCGCCCCTGGAAAAGTTCACATTTCTGGTGTGTTTTGTCTGGCGGGCAAAGTCATAACTTCACTTATCAACATTAGCTGTTGCCAGGGGTGTGGCAGCAAAGGCAGTGGGGGGGAAGGAGGGAAAGGGCTAGCAGGGGTCAGGGAAAAACGCTTCAGATATTCATACATTTTAATACGCTGTTTATATTTTATGAAGGCAAATGAATGCACAAGGAAATGAAACGAATGTGGGTGGATGTGGGTGGCCTCCCAAAAAATTCAACACCAAATGACTGAGTGTGTGTATGGATGTGTGTGTCTGCTTAAATTAGTCTCTGTGTGTGTGAGTATCTATGTGTATTTGCAGTCTAGGCTACAGAAGTCTTTCTTGGATGCCCGAAAAACCAAAAAACCGAACAACCAAGCAACCTCGCTTCAAGCTATAGACGAGTTTACAGTTATCAAGGGAAAATTATCATCTGCCATGAATCTCGATAAAATTCATATTCATATGCGAGAGCCAAAGGGGCTCAAGTCGGGGGGGAGATGAGGTGAGGGGATACGGGTATAACCCGGAATGGGACAGTGTCCGGGGTACCACATTGTATCTAACTGGTAGCTAACCACACACACACACACAGATACACACACATTCATTACGTCGCCTCTGCCAGGACGTCCCAAAATGGGATAGCTGCTTGCCAAGGATACACTCCAAAAAAATATATCTAGTTGCTATAAATAAATACTAATTTTTTTTTGATATTTAATAAGAACTAGAATATTTTAGATATATGTATCCTTACGAAGAAGTTATGGAAACTATCTTTAACTTCAAATCTTTTAAATTTTTGGTTGTAGAAGCTTAGTATTTTTTCAAAATCCGTTAAAAACCATCTATTTTGAACAAAAAATACTGGAATGATACAAAAAATATCTTAATCTATTATCTATTATAATCTAAAACTACCATAATATCAAAATAGAACCCTTAAAGATCTTTTAAAGTTCTAAACTTTAAAATTCACTTTATTTTTGTCAGTGTAAATTTTATATTTGATTTAAATGTATGCGTGTGGGTCACAGGAAGCACTGGGACGACGGGCCAGACACGTTTGCCAACAAAAACAGCAACAGCCACCGAAAAAGGCAACAACACAGCAACAATTGCTTGATATGGAAAACGGGCTCACAACTAATTTTTGGAAACAAATGACTCTCGTCCTTCCAAAGGCAAAATAACCCCACAACCCACTCTACACCCACCACTCCTTCATTTCGTCCTTGCCCATTAAAGTTGCCTTAAAGTGGTTTTGCGGCAAAAACTGGTCCTTAAAGAGCTTTACCAAATCCAGCTCCAGCTTCAGCTCTCTCTTGTTCTGATAATCTCTGCGATAAGTGATTGAAGTTGGATATTATTATAACGACACTGAGGCCAAGGAGCAATGGGGGAAAAAGCCCTTTTCCAGAATTTCCAGCAAAAACACAAAATTGGATTAAAACACACTCGGCTGACGGAACTCTCAACTCAAACAATTTAACGCCAAAGTTGTGAGCCAAGTTCAGAATTATGGTTTGACTTTGGCCGGAAACGGTTTAAAGGTTTTTCAATCACAATTATTGAGTTTTTTTTTTAAACTATAATACTTTTTTTTTTAAAACTAAGAGTGTATTTAGTCCTGAATTCAAGGAACTTTTAAAGAAAAAGAGGTTCTCTTATGGGTGACATTGTTTCTTCAAGAAATTGCTTATGATTTTAAAGCCTGTTGAGAACTTGGAATCTTTTTTAAGGTTTCTATTAGTTTTTAATAGAAAGTCTTAGGTTTTTTATGTTTCAATTAGTTTCTATTTAGTTTTTAATGTTTAATCTCTTACTATAATAATAAAAAGCTGAAGGCTTTATAATAATATGCCTTCAAGCTTAGGGTCCTTTAGCTATTTATAGTATTTTATAGCTATTATATGGGCTTTATATGGGCAACTATTGTTTTTTTCTCATAAGCCCAAAATATTCTTCAAAATATTTTTAGAAATAATACAATTTTATGTAAAATTATAAAGCTTCTATTTAGAAGTATTTCCTCCTAATTTCTTGCCACTTTCCTTCTCCAAAACGAACTCAAAGGACTTTGCCAATGAAAAGCTAACAGTGAAGCTAACGGCAAAGATAAAGGCAACAGCAACGGCAGAGGCAGCTGTAACAGTAAAGGTAAAGGTAATTAAGTAATTCCTTTCCAGATTGGCCCGGCACTAAGCAGCTCACTTAAATATTTACATTTATATCTGCAGTTCAGAAAAGATAAAAGTGCGCGTGCTGCCCCAACAGCCGAGCGTTTCCCTCTATTTTCCCAACGTCTATTTTGCCCCTCCCCCACCTCTCCCCCTTGTCTATTTCCTCTTTTTATTTTTCTTACTTTTTATTTGATTTTTTTTTTTGCTTTTTTGTTAGTGGCATCAAGTGAACAGCAGCCGAGAGGCAAGCGAGTTCATTAGCTGGCAAAGGGTTTAATTACCTTCTCTGTTCATTTAGCGCCACTTGGCTAACGCACTGTTGAGCAGTGCAAACCGAAAACCGACTCAAACAACCTGGCTTGAAGGGGGCGGGCAGGTGGTTTAGGGGGCTAGAGGGTGGCTTTTGGCCAGGAGAGGGGCGGTCGTCGGCAGGGAGGCTGCTGTGGACCACCTGGGTCTTGGCAAATGCAGCCTGAAAAATGCGTCTAAGGACTACTCTTTATGCAGGGTACTTTAAGACTAAAACAATTATATTATAACATAAAAATTAAATAAAATTATAATATTTATACATCAAATAATTTTAATAGATTTAATATAATATTTAATGCCTAATATTAAGTCATGTAAAAACGAACAGGGAACTTTCCCATTAAAAGGTTATTTGAAACATTGAATGAATAAAATATGTAGTTAGTTCTAATTAAACAATTAAAATTATTAAGGTTAAGGATTTTATTATAAATAAAAAAATTTGCTTTAGTTCTTAAAACAAGTTAAAATATAAACGAATAAACATGTTTCATAAAACGGGTTTCGTATCATAAAACTATACATATGTATGTACTTACAAAAAAAATCATCCAAAACTAGTAGAAGCTTGGTTATATTTTATATATTTCAGATATTTCAAAAAAACAATAATCTATGATAATATTTAATTGAAAAATTGTAGAAACCTTAAAAAATTATCCAACTAGAAGATATTCTAAACAATTTTTTTGTTAAGCCATCTTTTCCAGAGGTTTTGGAAATTGAAGCTTAAGTACCTTTTATTTTTAAACTCTCTTTAGCCAAGTACTCTTGAATATTCTAAAATAAAGGATATCCTTTAAAAAGGATATTTTTCCAAAGTTTTTTTTGTTTTTTTTTAGGAACTTTAAATATAGAACATTTTTTAAGTTTCCTCTAAAAAAAATCGATTACTAGGTACTTTAGAATCCGTCCCTTAGTTTAGTCCCCAAATGTCTCTCTTCGGTAAACACAACTTTTCCATGTACACAGTTAATTAAAAAAATGAAGGAAAATAGATGAGTGAAAATCGTAAAGAGGAAAAACTCCAAAAGCAGCGGCCTCAGCTGGAACTAGAGTACCTTGAGTCCGCTTTTCCTACCCCAACCACCCACCTTTACAATTCCTCAAAATTCTCAATTAATATGAAAGATACACCAGAAAGTACGTTACAGTTACACAAAAAGTTAAAAAATATAGAGTTTAAAGAGTTAATAGATATTTTGTAACAGTAAAATGTTAATTAATTGATGCACTTATTTTTATTAATTTTTTTAACTGACTAGAACTGTTTCTCTAATTTTCCCACTTTTAGTTAGTATTTTATATTTTCAGGTTCTTGTTTACTTTTTTTTTACAGTGTCCTATTTTTTTGGGGCATCCAGGAAACGGTAGCGGTAACGGTAAACTGGGAACATGAAAGAAATTAGCAGCGTGACCGAAAAGGCCTAGGTGAGGTCCATCCTCGCCCCCCAAAAAAACCGGAAAGCCAAGTCCTGGGAAATTATCCCACCGCCGCCCCAACTCCTCCCAAAAAACAAGCCCAGAACCACTTGAAGGTGTACTTATTACACCTGAGCTGCAGTTAAGTATGTTTACAAGATGTTCCGGCCCGGCAGACGGAAGTCAAAAATACAAAAAAAAAAAAAATAGAAGAGAAAACTCTGTAACTCCGAAAAACTCGACTCAAACTTGACTTCCGGCAGGGGCGTTTATTTTTTAATAAATTTACACACAAACAGGAAGAGGAAAAGAGGCTGGGCTGGAGTATCCTGGATGGCTGGTAACCCAGTTTTTTGGTCGACTTATAAATCCTTTAACTGTCGCTCGTCGCCGCCAGTCGAAGCAAATAAATTTCCCCCAAGGGGGTAATCGACAAAATATATTCGATAAGAAATTTGTATGGCTCAAGATGATGTAATCATCGGTTTTCCTTCCGGGGGACAAGGGAGGGTACTGATTTCCTAAGGATTCCCATCCCAAAAAGGACCACCTGCTGTTCCGTGCTTTTGTCACTCCGTGAATTGCTTCGGAGACCCTCAGAGTCTCCAACGACACAAAGGTGTCGTCTGGCGGATTCGGATTCTGATTCTGGTTTCTTGAGTCTAGCTTCTGGATTCCTTTTTCCGGGGGGCTCTGGGCTAAGGACTAAGGATGCGGTTGTATATCAGACGGCATCCAATGACAGGGGCTGCTCATGCACCGATTGCTTTTTAATCGATTCCATTTACAAATAAATTGCTTTGCCCGAAAGATTTATCCTTTGCCAAGTGCAGATGATAAAATGAAATTAAACAAGAACGACTGAACGATACCCTATAATGCGTATAATTTTTTAAATCCAAAATCTAGACACACACTCGCCAACAAACATTTTTAATAACTCTAGTACAATATGTAAAATAATTTAGAGTCCTTCCACCGCAGGACTAAATATTTGAATTTTTGAATTTACGATGTCGTCATGAAGAAGTATCGTGGGGCTGTAGGATCTCCTTTATAAAGACTCCAGCCTATTCACCATACTTCTGGAACTCCCACTCACGGTTGTCCAGTGGGCAGACCTGGCGGGACTTCAGCCACCGCGAGATACAGTGAAAATGGAAGGCGTGGTTGCACGCCCCCCATGCCACAGTGCACTCCTCCTTGGAAGTGTTCCAGGCAACGGCCTGGCATTCGATGCACAGATCCATAATCTGATTCCTGCATATAGCGCAGTTGTCCACTACGATGTCCCAAGACCATAGGGCCACCGCATTCCATTTTTTCACCTCGAAGCGTTTTACAGGTGCTTCTTGGCTTGTGCTTGGAAGAGAGTCTTGATTCTTCAATTGCTCTTCAGACTGCTCTTCAGACTGCTCTTCATTTTCATCCTGATTCTCATCCACATCCGTGGTAGATTCTGTGGTCTGCTCGTCCTCCTCAGTATCCATCAGTTCCTCCTTGTCATCCATGGCTTCAGAGATTTAAGCTTATTGTTATCGCAATAATATCAGAGACTTTTTGGCGGATTTTTTGGCTTAGAAAATTTGATAAACTATTTATGGAATTTTCTGAATGGTGTGTTCACCTTAGAGTCTCTGTTTCAACTGAAATTGTAACATTTCCAGACAGAGTGACATTTTATCTTCATGGGTAACTAGATTCTATAAAGTTTTTTAAATAGGGCTAGCTAACATACGTATTTTTAAAGGTGCAAATCAGGGATTATAATGTAGTACAAGCTACAAAGATCTGGTAATGTCTGAATCGCGAAAATAAAGGGTTGAGTTACCATAAAATAAATAAATCTGCATAGATTTCATACAAATAAATTCAATGAATCTAAAATGTTACAGTACTCTGGCAACTATTTTTTTTTTAGTCATCTAGTAGGCCCTGAAATAAGAACCAATTAGAACCAACTAACCCCTTACAGGGAACGACTGTAACATTTCATTTCGAACCGAGATCTCGAAGCGACAACACCTTCTGGAAAAATAAATCAGGTAATTTATTTTTACAAAATTTTTACGAAAAAAAAATATTTATTCAGAAAAAATATTTTTGGTTAATTCAATCAACATTTTTTTTTTCTAATTTTAAAAAATATTTCTTTCAGACAAACATTTTTTTTCGATTATTTATTTTAATTATAATTTTTTTTTTTCAGCTTGAAGCAGAACCCCTAACGACAAAGCATAAAAAAATCATGGAGAACGAGCAGGTTAAGCTAAGTGAGGTGGACCAGAAGGAAATAGATCAGGGATTCGATCAGCCGGCATTAAAGACCATAATGGAGGAGCAGTCGAAGAACAAGGAGGACTCTACCGAGGTTGATCCGGACCAGAAAGAACTAGGGGAGCGAGCCGAACTGCAGGCAGAAGGTCACATGAAGGCTGAGGATGAGCAGTCTAATATAAAGAACGATGACGAGGTCCAGTTGGTTAAGAATGACCAGAAGAAAATAGACCAGGAGGCCAAACAGCCCTCAGAAGAGGCCATCAAGGAGGATGAGGTGGAGCAATTGGAGAAAAAGAAGGCCTCTACCGAGGTTGAGAAGGACCAGAAAGAGATCGGCCAGCGAGCCGACCTGCAGGCAAACGGTCCCAAGAAGGATGAGGAGGAGCAGTCGATTCCAAAGGAAGATGAGGTCCAGTTGGTTAAGGATGACCTGAAGAAAAAAGACCAGGAAGCCAAACAGCTCGCAGAAGGCAAAAAGGAGCCGTCGGAGAACAAGAACGATGAGAAGGCCCAGTCTGAGGAAAAACAGGATGAGAAGGTCACAGAGGAATCGTCCGATAATTCCAGCCCGGAGCGTGGAGCTCCTCGCAAGCGTTTCGAAGTCAAAAAGTGGAACGCGGTGGCCATCTGGGCTTGGGACATCGTAGTAGATAACTGCGCAATCTGTAGAAATAATATTATGGATCTGTGCATCGAGTGCCAGGCCAACCAGCCGAGGATCAACTGCGATGGCTGCACCGTGGCATGGGGGGTGTGCAACCATGCCTTTCATTTCCACTGCATATCGCGGTGGCTGATGACCCGCCAAGTTTGTCCCTTGGATAACACCGAATGGGAGTACCTAAAGTTTGGCCACTAGGTTGGATCTATGGAGTTCTCCTCTAGATGTTGAAGTCCTGGCACAAAACAAACAGTCCTGGGATCAAGAAACATATAAGTAGGAGTAGATTCTTCAAATATTCCTTTGTATAAATGATTTGTATGAAATATTCTAAATAAATACAAATACATACATATATGATACATATGATATATATGGGTCGAGCACGCCACCAAGGCGGTGGGCAGGAGCGGTACTGTGATCGGCCTGTGCGGCAAGGACTGCGTCATCCTGGCTGTGGAGAAGATTAACTTCAGCAAGTTGTACGAGGATGATGCTGCGAGACGCATCTTCACCATAGACTCGAGTATCGGGATGACTGCGGCAGGCGAGTGGGCCGATGCAGTTGTTGTGGCGGACATTGCCCGTCAGGAGGCGCTCAACTACCGGAAGCAGCACGAACATCCAGTTCCGTTAAAATATCTGACCGATCGGGTGGCCGGATTCATTGAAGCCCACATCCAGTGCCTAGTCATCCGGCCTTTCGAAGTCTCGATCGTGCTGGCCTCCTGGAGCGAGGGGAAGGGTCCCCAGCTCTACCAGATCGAGCCCAGTGGCGTCTTCTCGAAGTACCATGCCTGTGCCTGTGGGAAGGCCAAGCACGAGGCCAGGAATGCAATGATGGAGCTGTCGCGGGCCATGGAAACCGAGGAGCTTGTGAAAAGCGCCGGAGCAGTCATCTACAAGGTCCATGATGCGCTGAACGACGAGAACTTTGTGTTTGAAATGGGCATGGTGGGCAAGGTCACCAACGGTCGGCTGTGCATCAATCCTGCCGAGTACACTGAGATGGCCAGAATGGCCGGGGCTTCCGCCAGAGAAAAGGATGACAGCTATGATCCGTTGAATTAACATTTCTGGCAGGGAAGTTGGTGGGCCTAAGAAAAAATCATTTATTTAATATTTTGTACAAGATTTTATTCGTAAAGATGTGCTTTTCATTTGGCAACTTCCTGAACTTATTACTTATATGGTTTTATTTTTAAAATTTACTCAAAATTCTATGTTATTTTTATTAAAATAATTTTGTTTGTTTATAAATGTGCCATCTCAAAAAATGTTACTTTACAGTGAAGTTTACAGTAAACCGATAGTTATTAGATAAATATAACCTATATGTTATGCAAACAGTGAAGTGTTTTTAGGGTAAAACTCTAGACTTGGTCACTTTAAAAGCCCCAAGGTAGGGTCACTCAAAAACTAAGCCCCTGGTAGGGAACGCTTGCATCATTCCATTTCGAACGCCGACTTCACAGCGTCTGGACCATCTAGGAAACTTTCTTTGGTAAGTATTTAAATAAAATTTTCGAACATAAAAAAATGTATTCCAAAGAAATATTTACTTCATTATTTTATTCTATTATTTTTATTATTATTGTTTCTTAGTTATTATTTATTTTTTAATTAAATTGTTTTATTTCAATATATTTAGCTCGCAGCGAAAATCTCCGGTCCCAAACAATGAACAACAACCGATATGGAAATGGAGGACGTCTCAAACGTACGTCCCACCCCTATAACAATTGGTTCTGGGACAACTGCGAGATCTGCCGGAATTATATTGTGGATCTATGCACTGAGTGCCAGGCCTCTGGGAAACCGGTATCCTTCGAGGAGTGCACAGTGGCATGGGGGACGTGCAACCACGAGTTCCACCTACACTGCATCGAGCGTTGGTTGCAGACGCGCCAGGTGTGCCCGTTGGACAACCTCACCTGGGAGTTCCAGCTATTGATCTAAAAATATCATTATTCTAATAAAGTTTTGGACGCTTTTCCACAATAGTTACTTTTGTTTATTTTTTTCGTTTTTTTTTTGGGCAACATTTTTCTTTGGAAAAATTTTTCATTTTTATTTTTTTCTAAGGTTTCTGGAAGTCTCTGGGTGCTTGCTAGATGTGGGTTTTTTGTTTTTGTAGAATGATGCGGATAATTGAAGATTTTAGTGTAACCAGATACAGATATTAAGGGAATCTCTGCTTTTCGTTGTGTCTGATAATAAAAAGTGTGTCCACATTAGTTTCATGAAAAGCTTACTCTACTGATTTTCCATTGAAATTGAAATTAAAGTTATTTCAAAGTATTTGTTGTCTGTTTTGTTATAATTTAACTTTTAGTTGAAAAAATCTTTTAAAACTAGATAGAATTATGATATATAATATATTTAAGCTTAGAATTTCAGATCAAAACAGTGATAAATTTAAGATTAAATCAGTATTCACGTACTGTGTCTTAGTCGCTCTTTAAAGAAACATGAAACCTCCATTATCCAGTCAGTTTTTTCAGGTTTTTCTCAGTTTCTTGTTGTGAATCTTACAAGGACTAGCCAGTAGCCAGAATATAAAGACGAGAAGTCCACCTGGCTGCTTTATGGCGCAACTGACGTCATAAAATCCTCAGACAATGCGGTGGAACTCCTCGAGAGTTGGACTTTCCGCGCTTAATGAACTTTTCTTGGGGAATAAATTGGAAGGAGGATTAGAAAAAAGTAAGAGTGCTGGGGGATTGGATTTCCCTTCACTTTCACTTTCGTTTTTACGACCAAGCAACATGTGCCCCAAGAAAATGAAATGATGGGGAGGCAGCCTCATCGATTTGGATCCTTTTTTTGGTCACCGAGACACCGTTGCCTACTTTCCCTCCATCATCTTCCCATCCTGGAAAGAGTGGGTAATGGAGTTATATTACCATAGATGGGCCACCACGCACTTAGCCCTGATGATGGCGCACAGGAAAAAATAACAATAATAATTCGAAAATTATGAAAGCTATAAACGCATAAATTTTCTGACGAGCCACAACCATCGCCATTATATACGACATTTTAATAATTTTCCACACGCCGCCGTCTCGTCGAAACTTTTTCCAGCTCTGATTGGAGGTTAGGGGTGTGCCAAGAGGCAGGGTGTTGGAAAACCATGCTAAAGGGGGGGAAAACGCACACATATACACTGTAGAAAAAACATAATTTTTATTAAAATACCTTGAAGATGTTTGTCTATTTCATTTTCTTAAAATTCATTTAAAGTTGTGAACTACTCGAGTCGTCGGCAGCTCCCTTCAATCAGTCGTTCGAGAGGCGGGCTATACTCTGGGTTTCCCCCTCTTTTTTCACAGTGTCTGCTCACTAAGTAGACGCAGACAGACAGAGATATAGACAGAGCCATAAAATGCCTACGAGGAGAAAGCGCGAAACACTATATAAAAATTCATAATGCAAACATAAATTTTCATTTGAATATTTCGCTGTCTTGTTCTTGGCGAAAATCCTGTTTTTGCTATCGCGGCTTTTTCGCTTTTCCAATAAATGGGTCCTGCCTGCGTCAGCCTGCCCGCCTGCCCGCCATCCTGCCTGCCTGCATTAGGCTGGCAAAAGGATAGCAAGGATGCCAGGATACTAGTACTGCTCCCCCCCTCTACGGCCATGGTGGCAATCATATTTTTGGTGTTGTAAACATTTTCCAGTCGACATCATATGAATTATGGGGGTCGTACCGCGAAAAGCTTTTATAATCGCGCGCAAATCGCGCAAAGAGTGAAAAAAACACACTCCCACACCAAATGAAAGTATTTATGTACATGCAACAGCCAACACCACCCTCCTTCTTGCAACGCCCCTGGCATCTACATATATCTATGTATATGTAAATACTGATATACTGAAATATATATGTATATGTAAGCTGCAAATGCCCGAAATATGTTTGCATTCCGCGGTTTGACAAGTTAATGCGAGGCTGGCTGGGGGGTAAGTCAGCGGAAAATATTGCTAAATGTATCTGCCTGGGTGGGGTGGGGGAGGATACAACATCTATCGGATAGTTGGCCAAGTAACAGATACACAGATACACTCGTATATTGTTGGTGTGGGATGCTGCTTTGGAGTTACGCCACTTGATCCCACTTTAAATTGTTGCCGAGTCACTTCCTTGAGAGATACAGGATTTAAATTTCAAAAGGCAATGTTTATTGTTCAAATTATTTAGTTAAGTTTCTAAAGATTTTATTTAAATTAATAAAAATGTTTATTAAAAATTATAGAGCCTGAAACTATAAAGGTAAAGTTTGTAACGAGGTTTTCTTGAGGAATAGGTTGCTAAATGTTGTCGAGATATTCCATAAGAAGTTAATGTATATTTAGATTTCTGACTCTTAAGGCACAATTATATTATATCAGAATACTAGTATTAGCAAAAACACCTTAATTTAGATTAATAATACAAAATCCCTTACTCCTATGACTTGAACGCAACAGCCCCCACCTGAGGGTCAGTACCTTGATGTCATCACACCCATTCGTTTATCCTGGGATGAGCTGGGAATTAGCATTCATGGAGCTCCCTTATCGCCTCCTGCGGGCTTTAATTGACTGCACACACGCTCACAGACCCCTTCTCCTTTACTTTCCCAGAGAGTCATAGGATGTCGTCCTGGACTTCCCCGACAGGGAAGCCACTCCAGAGTTGACAAATGGTTGGCACGCCCTGGCGAAAATCTGGTCGAGGATGGGAGCTTTGGCGACCAACAAGTGAAATTGATGACTGGCCATCAATTTGCCTGCCGGAGTGCCCGACACTGGCGCCGCGCAATTGCCCCGCCCACGTGACCTTGCCGCCCATCAGCTACATGCCAATAAATGGTCATCCCCGCTCCCAAAAGGGTGGTGATGGTGGGGTTACTCTTTTTTGATTGAACCCCTTCTAAGTAATACTCTAGATAAAGGGAGGTTTATGGATATATTTAATATACATAAATATAATAAAATAGTTAATAATTAAATAAAGTAAGTCATTATTAAATAATTTAAAATACCACTAAATAATATATGAATTTAAAATATTTGTACAACATTTTCGGTAGAAAAAAAAGGCTAAGAACATTTAGAACTATTTTTCTAAAGATAGTATATTTCTTCTATATTTTCTTGTTTAAAACTTTTTATAAGCATTACATAAATTGAAAAAAAATTCATAAATATAAATATCTATCTAGAAAACACCCCAAAACTCTGAAGTATAAATTTCCAAACCAAAAAGAGTATAAAAGCTTTGGCTCGAGGAGCCAACTCCAAAACTGGCACGCGGTCAACAGTCGAAAGTCACGTTGGCATGCATGTAAAATAATCTGAAAGGCATTGGTCTTCGTTGGTGGGAGGTGGTGAAAGTGGGTGAAAGGGCCTGGCAGGGTTTCAATACCGAGACTCGTTTCGATTCTGGTTCTCAGTGCCCCGCAAAACACGCCACAGGAATTATTAATGGATCCCTGTCGCTATCCCAACTGGACTTCATCTCGATGGTTTTTGCGGTCAAATTTTTGGATACGTTTTGGGGCGGTTTGAATATTGAGGGTTATGGAGGGTCTGGAGTTGGGGTTTTGGGCAGGAGGCTGTTGCTGTACCGGCTGTGATTGATTTCGAATCGTTTTTCAATTGGCAGACCACAGGCCGACATCTGTCCGGGGCCACCCTGGGGAGGGGTCTCCGATTGGGGTTATTCTGGCTATTCGCATTTGACAAATTGTTTGCTTGTAAAGTCAAAAATCCAGGGGTATGAAAAACACATTTATTTCACTGATATCGTTCTATCTATATCGTTTATTTGGCTTTTGCTTTATTTTGCGGTAATTACTCAAAGAGCGCAATTTTTGGCGGCGTTTATTTTTCGGGGAGTCAAGTGAAAAGTCAGGAATCGCTGGGGCTTTTTTTTTTTTGGTAATTTTGTGTAAGTTAATATCCTGTTTGTTATTGCCGCGACCAACGCCATTATAGGTGTATTTACAAACATATGTATATATTTTGATATATATTTACATGCAACATGCAGGCCTGGGGTCTGATGAATTGATTAAACAATTTCCTACCCTCGTCTCCTGTTGGTTTTTTCCCTGCAAGGTATTTTCTGGGGCATATTACCTTTGTGACGGGTTTAGGTTGGGAAAAATAAGGAATAAAGTTTAAAAATATTGTAGGAAATAGCTAAATAACTGGGGAATACGAGTAAAATTTTAATAAAAGTATTTTAGTGTAGGATTTTAGTGTAAGAATAATGAACTTTCATCAAACCAACATTTGTAAGGAAATCAAGACTTCTGAGTCATATCTTTTATATATTGTTGTTTTTTGAAGAATTTTCAAGCATTCATTTTAGATGCATTTTCATGTTAGTTTTATGTTTTATTTAGGAATACATTCTATAAAAAATATTAATCGTAAGTATCATTACAAAATGTTCAAACATTTGTGAAAGAAAATATCACTGAAGTTTTTGTAATTCAAAATACCATTTTATATTAAGGAAGGGATACAATATTTTGCAATGAAAGTAGAAATAATAAATCCTAAAATATAATAAAATGATTATAAAAATTCTTCAAATGATATAAGGTATTCTTAAGTCCCAAATCTAAAACCAAAACTGTTTTGTATGGTTCTGCATGCGGCAAAGACGTCAAACGTTGCAAGGCAAGGCCAAGGGGCTGGCAAGTGGGCGGTTAGGGTAGGCGTGGCAAGGGGAAAAGGGCAGCACGGGGCGGAGGGCAGGGGAGCATCGTTGGCATTGGCAACAAATCACTTTAGTTGTGCGTGATAAATTGAGTTGTTGTGTTTTGCGTTAATTGGGGCAATTTCTAGCGAATCTAAAAACGGCAGAAAGGGGCAACTGCCACTAGCTGAGACCCAACTCCTGCCCCACACACACACACACTTGCACATATGAGACGTGCCAGAGTCGAAAATTAATATTGTAACAGAATCCAAAAGTGGGCGGAGGGGCGGGGCAGCTGACCAA